TGAATCTGGGGGAAAAGCCGTAAGTGGATTGAAAACACCAAAAGATTTGAAGCAGTTAGAAGCATTGGTGGGTAAAGTAAATTACAGCAATTAAATTACAATTAACCCGTTTGCTTAAACAAAAATTAAATTCAAATGATGCCCTTCCTTTTGGATTAGGAGCAGTTTTATTTTCAATACATCCTAAAGGTTCAGAAAGACCTATAGCATTCGCTTTAAAAAGATTGGACAACCATGAAGTTAAACATAGGCAAATTGAAAAAGGTGGTTTATCTATTATTTTTGGTGTAAAACGTTTTCACCAGTTCTTGTATGGAATAACCTTTAGTCTTTGGACTGACCACAAACCTTTGCTGCGAAACATCTTCCAACAATGGCAGAGCATACATTGCAGCGCTGGGCTATAATTTTGATGGCATACCTGTTCAAAATCAAATATTCTAAAGCGGTAAATCATGGTAATACTGATGCTTTATCAAGATTGTCAATCGATTTCGATGAATCAATCGATGATCGAATTCCCAAACACGCCAACGAAAATTCCATGTTACGTAGAATTCGAAGTCTTGTCTCCTTTTATGATGGTCATTGGGGCATTGTTAAGATGAAAAAGTTAGTTAGACAGCATTTGTGACGGTTAAACGTTTAAGTTTGCAATGCGATATTTGGAATATTAAACTTGCCCAAAATCAATCATCAGTTGGGAACGTGTTCATGTTGACTTCACCGGTCCAATTTTCAAATCAATCTGAATCATTTGGGTCGACGCACATTTTCAATTCCCGTATGTGTCTGTCACGCATAATACAAAAACAGATGAAACTTTTAGTGCTTTATCTTCACTTTGTATCAAGGATATTACAACTGCACCCTTCCATCCCCTTTCAAACGGATTAACCAAACGTTTTTGAGATCATTTAAATCCAACGTTCGAAAATGATTCGAAGATGGATTTTAACGAGAAATGCTTTACACCCATATCTTTATGCTTATCGTTTCATGACTAACACCGAAAATAGATCTCAACCATTTGAAGAACCGAATAAAGTGCAACTCGTTTCCAAAGATTATATATATAATTTCAAATTTGTAAAGAAAACTGAGCCTGATATTTAACTTTTATATTTTTTTGAGAAACAATGTTATTAAGAAATTTTAAATTAGTATGTTATTCATTCAATTCAATTTCAAATGCCCTTAAAAGTGTACCCACCACAATATTGCTGACTCCGTGTATATATTGAATGTCACTAGTAAATTGGGAAATGCCCTTTCGCTCGGACTTATAACTGTTTTAGAATGCAAAGCTATTGTTAATAGTTTGTGTTGTGTTAAAGCAGTAAATTATCCACCCTCCAGAATATGTCTGAAATGTATGATACTGAGATATATGGCTAGGAACTCACGATCAAAACTATTGTATTTAACTTTGGATGGAAAAAAACTTCTTCGAAAAAAATGATAAAGATTTAGTAAGCCCATTCACGAACTGTTGCAAGACGTCACTTATCGCTACACTTGACGCATCAGCCCTTAAAGATAATTCTGCCGTATTTCTAAAATGATTTAGCAAAACTCTCGAGGAATAGGTCTTTTTAATAAGTTCAAATGATTCAGTAGCATTTTCATTCCTTATTAAAACTTTATCTTTAGATTTAATTGCCTTGTTATTATATTGTGTATTGTACAAGTAAGTTGTGGTAGTTTCGGAAGATATTTATGCAAATAATTGATTGTGCCTATAAACTTCGGGCCTTGTTTCACTGATTTTAAGGTTTTTAACAGCAGCTACCTTATTTTCAGAGCACTGAGTAGCTTTTTTAGAAATATTGTCATCCAAAAAATCAATACTTCTTACCCCAAAAGTACACTTGCTAGGTTTAATATTAAAACCATTTTCATCTAATCCCTCATAAACCAATTTTAAATGTTTTAAATGTTCGGATTCCGATTCACTGGCAACTAGAACATCGTCGATATGAACAAAATTGAAATCAAAGTCCCTGAATACTCCGCAACGTTTGCACAGAATTCCTTAACCCAAAAGGTATAATAATGAATTCGAACATACCGAAATGCGTCGTTACAAATTTCTTATAAAAATTCTTTTCAGCCATCAGAATCTGATGATACGCCTTGACCAAATATAGCATTGAAAAAATGCGTTCCTTAGGTTGCAACTTATTTATAAGCGACAAGGAGTACCGACCGCTTAAAAACTCCACAAGGTCGCCGGTCATCTGGATCCTTTTTGGGTGCCAGATGTAGTGTTGACACGACAGAAGAACTGGATGGTCTATGTATTCCTATTACAATCAGAATTTCGAACTCTGTTTTGGCGGTTTTAAATTTGATAGGATCTAATGCCTTAGATTTTGAAAACGGAAGAATAACTTCAAGCTTTAGTTGATGTATAGTCTTATGTGTAACGGGTTTTTCATAATCTGATTTTGTGGCTAAACCCGGATAATTTCTTAATAACTCTAAAAATGGATTTTCTATTAAAAATAATTTTGGCAAGCAAATGCATTCAGCAGCTATGGTATTAACAGATATCTTATTTAATGGATCGACTAAACGCTTATGTTTAACATCAATTAATAGATCGCAATTGCTGAGGATATCAAGCCCAATGATTGGTCCGGAACCAAAAACGCGAACGGGAATTCACAGCGAACATTAAAATTAATATTTAACAGTAATATTGGATGAATTCTTGTTATTCTAAAATTTAGATGATGGAAGGACCGAAACTTCTGCGCCACTATCTACTAAAAAATTTAATTTGTTTTGCCTATCAAGTATATAAAAGCGAGTTTGTACATATTTAATACTTTCATAGTTTAGCCGCCCCAACTATGGATTCTCTTCGTTTATTGAATATGCACACGGATGTGCGCACTTCCCGGCATTACTATCGAATTTATAGTGGCATCTGTGGTATCAGTTGGGGTTTCTTCTATCACATGAACGAGATCTAGACCTGAAACGGTTGGGCTAAAATCAATTTGATTCAACTGCGCTTGCATGCTATCAACCTGAAGTGTTAATTGCTTTAAGGTCTCACATAATAATGCTTGACATCTAAGGAAATTTTGGATAGTTTAGTCGCTAGCGTTCTGCGAGGTTGACGCATAAGCATTAACTTTCGAAAAATTACACAGCTCCCAAATATCGTCGGCAAGCTTCTTCAGTTCTTTAATGTCCTTGACATGTAAATCTATAAGCACTACGCTCATACTATTAAGCAGCCTTTTTAACTACAGCCTTTTCAAAAGATCACGGGTAAAACTACATCCATCAAGAACGAGGACACTCTGATAGAAATCTGGTGGCTTGCGATCACCTATATCCGTGTCGGACAAAATTTTATCGGTTTTTGAACCTTCGCTGAAGAAATTCTTATTGATTAGAATTCTTTTTAATTCCTGATATTTGTTTGTGGGCGGAGGATCTCGGATAAAATCAACAACGGTCGCAATAATTTCTTGAGTTAGAGCGACCCTTGTGATACCTTTCGAAGCGAATTGTGCTTTGGCTTCGATAAGGCACGTCTGCGGACAACTGCATCAAAAGGGTGACAATTTGATGAAACAAGCTAAAACTTCCCTATTACGTGAAAGACGTTCGTCAAAGTAAAGGGTGCGAGTATTGCTGGTGTGTGTACTAGTGTCTGTGGTTCCATGTATATTGCGACTGCAGGGAAATAACAATTTCGATAATAACTTAATCATTATACAATTGCAAATCTCAACTGATATCTAATAACGTAAACACAAATTAAATTCGTGAAAAATTAGTAAAAAGTAAATTCAAGTATTTAATTAACATATGCAAGTATTTATTATACATATATATATATTCAAAACAACACAAAAGAAATGAAAGCAAATTTGAAAAGTGATAGTAAGCAAAAATAAAGATTTTGAAACTGAACATTTTTTTGTGAGTTCTCATTATTTTTTTTAAATGTACAGCAATTTTTAATCTTCAAACTTTAAAAGATGAAAGTATTCCAAATATTTAGCAATTTTCAATTGAATAAGAACAAACAAAAAGAAAATTCAACTGCTTTCCTGATGCTTTTTTGTCGTTTGAGCTTGATTGTTGAAATGTTGTCTCTCCTTGTTTCACTCCATTTTTTTACTAGTCTTTCTACGTCTAATGTCTGTTGAAGAATAGCATCTAATGTGGCATGGAGCCGAATGAATATCGGTTATTTAGAGTCGATTATTTGCTTCAACTGGCTGACTGGTTGGCTGATTACGTCTACGTTCAATGCTGGTGTTAAAATACTTTCGGGAATTGAATACTGGAGAGGCTATTATTGTTGTTGTGACTTCTTCTTTTCTCATTCACTTTTAATAGTTTTAACATTATTTCTTACGTTTATTATAGGTTATGTCGTCTTTTTAAAATGAATTTTCCTAATGGTAATTCAACTAATTTCGTAAAACCTCGACAGCACAAGTTCTCAATGGTGTTTGCACACACACTAATATATTTTGTTTTTAATTCTGTTATTTTGCAATCTACAACCGTTTATATTTAAAATATGATTCCATAACTAATAAAATTATTAACGCTAGAAAATTTCGAAACACACACTTTTGACAATTGAAGTGTCGTTCCAATATATTTCCTAATGTTGATAAGCTACACTTTTCTGTCTTGGAAAGGTATGTAACAATCGACAAGTTCTAAAAACCGTCACATAAATTATCTCAAATCTTTTTTTTTTGAATTCCTGTTAATGTCACTTGTTGTTTTTAAAGGATGATTGGCAGGCAGAATATCCGATTTATAGAGGTAAATTAAAAAATTAAAAATTTATAAAGAAAACTCCTATTTTATTTTTATTTTGACAATGTTATTATTACAAAAGATCAAAAATTAACTGCTCAAAATATATATTTTTCAACAACATATTTACTAAACAAAGTGCCCTTTTAATAATTTAATTCATATAACCCTGAAGTTATATTTTTAATTGATTTCAGATATTTATTTTTTTTACATCGGAGACCGGAACACGGACCGATGAGAGTGCAACTTACCAATCCAGTATCCAGATTCAAGCACGTTCAAAGCCTACAGCATATGTGCAGGTTTGTATTTAAATACACACAAACTCGTGATTATTTTTAAACACCAATTATTGCAAAATTTTTGATTTTAAGATTATAGTGGGTCACGATCTACAATTAAATATTCTACATCACCCTGCAGTTATTCTTGTAACGATTTTTCAAAATAACGCATTATATGGGAAGTGGTCGAAATGTTGGTCCTTGAGTCTAAATACACCAGTGTACCAAATGGTATCAAAATATCTCAATTATACCTTGTGGGTTCAGCAGAAGAAAACACGACGGACAAATGAATTGACAGACAATCTCAGATTAAATAAGCGATTCTGCATCAATCGGTATAATAAAAAGTGTGTCTATCTCACCTCTTTCTATGTGCATTCACCCAAACTTAATATTTGTTGGTACGGTGTGCTATGTGGGGTACAAAAAAGGCAACTTCTAAAAAAAATTGTTATAACACTATTTAGGTATCGTACCAACCAACTAGTAATACACATTGATATTACAGTGTTTCTTATCGTAGTTTCCTCTACGCCAACAAAAATGTGCTAGAGTTAGCCATAAAGACGAAGTTTGGGGTTGACAACCTTGTGAGGAAATGTCAGAAAATGAATTTGTCAATGGCGATTTCTAGTATTTAGTTTTGTTGAGTTTGCGTTTGGCCGATCACGCACGTTTACTTTTGGCGAAATAAAACTTTTTTTTCTCTTTACGCCTATTGGTTGTATAAATTTTATATAAAATTGTTGGTGATGTGATGATGGTGTCGTGTTATAAGGTATATTTTATGATGACTAAGGAAAAAATGTAAGACTGATTTATTGAAAATGCGCAGGCTTATCCAAACAGCCTTCTGACCTGTTTTGAAATCAATACATTGGTTCATAGGAAGGTCCACGAACATTGGTCGAAAAAAGGTAGATGCTACAAATGTCACCTGCCGTTAACAATTCTTAATAAATTTGCTGTAAGATTTAAGACTGTCGTAACGAAACCCGCAAGACTGTCTAGATTGTAATATGAATTGATAGTTTCGCGCGTCTTAGCCGCGCCAGGTGTGGACGTATTGTTTGGATATCTTACTTTTAGCCTTGACGGCAGGCAAGGTTGAAGATTATCAACGTAAACATCGCGGATAATTTTGTTTCTGTTGTTATGACTAGAGCTCAACGATGGCGATGTTCAATGTGAACTTAGACTACAAATCAAATCGTCTATTATGTTTGTTCTAACCGTTAGCTGCTCCTCTTGTAAAAATTTGATATTAAAGCATTTTCTAGCCGGAATATTGGCAGTAAAAATATCTCGAGGTATTTCCTGTTGACCACCTCCCATGCTCCAACTAAGCGATGTGCATTATTCTCTCTTCATATTAGGGCACAGCAACCATAATTTAAATATTACTTTTACAGTGTATTTTTGTTTGAGCGGTGGATGCCCAGAAAGTGTGAATCTGAATAGAAATGTGAATCAACTATTTTGAAATGGGTCAGTGTATTTTGGAAGACTCTATAAAATTATCAATTGCCTATAAGTAATTAATCTTTACGTTTTTAATAATTTGGGAGAAATCGGTTTGATTATTGTTATGGTTATGGTATGGTTAATGTACTGCACTGAATTGTGCGGATTGCACCCTAACCGTTTTGAGAAAACTACTTATTTAGAAATTAAGCAATTTTCGTATGTTAATGCAGGTTATATATGAAAGGAAAATAACCGAGTAGTCATTAAATAATTTAAAATATTGTTACGAAACTCGGATATTCTTTTTAAGAGAAATACACTTCCAAGTTTCCACTACAACATTTACTTTGGCAATACTCTCGACTCCAATGTTTTTGTCTGACTGACTTTGGCTTCCGCAAATAGTCTATTTATATACATTTTTACAAGAATATTACTATTATCTAAGTTCAGGGCTTCATTTTTAATCCGTTAACTTGCTTTTCCGCTCGTTTTTCTCGGGTGGCAGCCGCGTGATGTGCCGCGAATAGGCACTTGGGTTTTCCCTCTCTAGGAAATTTATTCTTTGGAAAAATCAATTAGTTGGAATGAACTAGGTTTGGGATTTCCGTAACAATATTAATAATATTACTTACACATATATATACGAATTTGCTATGTGAAATAGAAAAAAAATATAATCAGTTTTCGTTTAAGGGAGAATAGCTCGTTACGACCTTTCCTCGTCGACGACATCTCAGCAGTCTTCTCTCCTTTCCTCTTTATATAAATGTAGTAAATATAGATATAAAACTTATGCAATTATAGTTATGTTATATAGTCATAGTAATTTACATGTAGTGTGAGGAAGCCTATTACTCCCTTACATAACAAATCTGTCCGTATGTTTGTCCGCTCGCACGAATTATCTCTCACCCTTAACCAAGTAAATTCTGAAAGCAGTTGGTCTGTCTGTCCGATTTGTGTTATAGAAGCCGAAAAGGGAAGTGATATTTGACAAAATAATTCTTTGTTTTTCGAGTTTGCTGATAGACATAAATCCTGTTTTTGACTTATGGATAGGGGATGGCAGGCTCAGCATAGCCGCTATGCCTGAACAAGAGAAAGACTCTTGACGTACGGATAGGGAGTGGCAGGCTCAGCTTAGTCGATATCCCTAAACATCGGATAAGACTAGTCTCTCTCTGGCAAATCTTCCAACGGTTAGAGACGATAACAGCAACTAGGGCACAGGTAGGAACGGACGAGTGGCTCTATGGGCCCATAAGATTGGCTGCTATAACATCTCCATTGTATTTTGCAGAACTTTAGTACATACGGAATGCGAGAAGTAATATCTGATAAAGTAACTACGAGTAACAATGGGGTCTCGTTGCACTACGCTGGGTTTTTTTCGCTAGTACGAAAATCAATACGTTAAGCATAACTGTCCATCAAAATCGTTTTCGTGTTAAAATGCACGAAATCGTAATAATCTATGAAGATTGCGGTAAACAATAAAGAAATAATAAGCATACTCCGCATAAGAAAACCCAGGTTAAGTTACTCTTTTTTTTTTGCAATTATTTATCGAATTTTTTTACTAAGGTTTTGTGTATTTGTTCACTTTTACCGTTAATATATACTTTTACATTGGTATTATTGGTATTGGTATTATTCATGCATACTATTTTGTATGGATCTATACAGGATTTTTGTAATTTGTTTCTACTAGTATTGTCATTAATACTAGAGTCTCCTATTTCTACGTTTATTACATTTTTACAGCTTTGTTCTGAGTTTAATTTGTGGACACAGTTATTTGGGTAAGATTGTGTTTTAGGTTCTCTTATTCCTTCGTGTGACATGTATGATAGTTTTCCGAATAATAATTCGAATGGTATATAATTTATGTCTACATGTGGTGTTGTCTTATGTGCGATCCAGGTTGTGGTATCTATTTTCTCCTTCTTTATTTTGTGTAAGGGATGAAAGATATTCGATTAGAACACTACGGCTATGCTCTCTGATTTCTACTGTTTCACAAAATTTCTGTTGTACTTCTAGTGTTGCACATATTTCCTTCATCAGGTCCTTCGTGAAGTCTACTTCTTACGTGGAAAAATCGAAAACACCCGCCATCCCCACACAAAGTTACAAGTTTTGATGTTTTATGCTTATTTATAATAAGAAAAACAAAACCGAATGTTTACAACCATTTTGTACACTCGTTAAATGAAGGTATACTATATGCCTAAAAATGGGTTGTTTTTAAAATGAATATGGTAGACATCGCGATCACTTTTTTCTTAGTAATACGAGCGATATGGGCATCAAATAAAAGAACTTGGAGAGTACAATGCGAAAAACATAGTGATGGGTATGCAGGATTCGGCCCCCGCCGAGTATAACTTTTTTTTTGTTTTATCATGTTGAACATGCGTTTCCATATATATCTGTGACTTAGTATGCCTGAATATTTTCTTATAACAGCGTAGCTTCCTTAAATACTGTTGTGATCCTCTTCAATTAATTTTTTTGTTCTTTATTATTGCGCATTCTTTGTGTTTCTGCGTACAAAAGTATATTTATGCGGGTGTTTTACCTTTATTTGCATTGAAAAATCACACCATTTAAATTGATTGAGAAGTCTTTAAAATTTAGTTTGTTTAGCAATGGTTTTCCTTCATTTTCAAGTGTTAATTTTTTGTTATCGTTTCTTATTCGCAATTCTAGTTTTCTGTTTATATGACTAATTGATGTACATTCCCATACATATGATATTGACATTTCCCTTGCCTCATGCTTCGCCTCATTACTAATGTTTTCTTTATTATTTCTTTATCTTAGTCGACAGTTGTAGGTATCATTTACTTGGGTACCATAAAGTCTATCTTGATTCTGTGGAGTTTGTTGGCATTCGTTGTTAGTCGTTGTTACTTTTAAAGTGGAGCTTTTGTGTAACAATAAAGCTACTAGTAGTGTACGATCTGTAACCACTACAAATCTTTCACCGAATAGATAAACCCTGAAATGGTTAGTACCAAAGTGACAAAAAGTATATTGTCTTTTCTATTACTGGTTTGTTTTTTCCGTGTTTATTTAGTAACTTACTAGGGTATGCTAATGGAAGGTTTTTTCCTATATCGCTTATGATAAAATTGTCCCTAGTACAAAAACGGATGCGTCGGTAGTTAGTACGAAGATTTTTTAAAAATTGTGATATAGTAATATTGATGGGGATATGAATTGTTGTTTAAAGGCTTTCTTTTTCTGCGCATTTAAATTCTTGAGCTTATTTTAATAAGTTGTTTATGTCTTTGGCATCCCATCATCTCCAGGCGCACAACTATATATTAGAGACCTCAAACCATTTTTTGAAAATGTTGTGTAGCGCTTGTTGTCGTGTTTTCTCTTTTGTACCTAATCGTAATGTATTTATTAGTATTTACTGAGAAATTTTGAAATGTTACTTCGTTACTTATGGTATTCAATATTTTTATACGCTTCGACTCGTCTTTCGGTATTACAGTGTTGGCTATAAATTGTTATACTATATATACTTTTGC